AATTTTTTTCCTGTTAAGAGCTCATAGTTTAATAAAGTTCACAAAATTAAAATAATTCATAAATGGAAATATTCTAAAGAATAAAAGTGGGTATATACACCCATATACGCCTTTATGACAAAATTGGCATGATGTCCCCCTATGTGCAATTGTTTTGTGTGTTTGCCCACCTGCCTATTCAGCCTGTGCTAGTAATCAGTTACAACACTGCAGCTGTTTGAGTTCAATAGTTTTTCTTTTCTTTGTTGTTTCAGTTTGATGTTTTACTCTTTTTTAGATTTCCATGGAAAGCTCTTTACATAGATTTTCAAGGTAACCAAAGTTATCAGTGCCTCACTTTTCCTGTTTCTAGAGCCCAGTTGAATCCAGACAATTAATTTCCTTTCTCATAATTGAGGACTCATCTAGGAGACTGTGTGCCTAGCAGACTGGGCATGAGGAGGAGGAAGATGTGTCCCACTCTGTATGTAGGTGGCCCACTCTGCCTGAAAGCAATTGCTTCAACTTTATCCATTCATGGGATTTTCAATATTTTCCAAAAGTCTTACGAGGGACGCACCCCAATAAACATTGTTAAATATATTATTGTAGTGAATTTACATTGGCAATCTTCAAAGGTTAAATTCTCTATGGGTAAAATACTAAGGTTTCCTTATTAAGCAATGGTTGTGGTTAAATTTACAAAGCTATATTAAAAGGCAAAGTTTCTCTATTCTACTAGGATGGTTTCTTATTTTCCATTGTTAGGGGCTTAGTTATTTAAATTGATTTATGAGTTTTACTGGTGTGGGGGCACATACCTGTTATCTCAGCACTTGGAAGGGTAAGGCAGGAAGATTACCACAAGTTTGAGGCCAGTCTGGACTGGTTAGTGAGTTTAAGTCCAGTCTGAACTGCACAGCAAGAGCATGTTTAAAAAAAAATAGTTTTGATTAAGAGCCAGATGTGGTGGTGCACACCTGTAGTCCCCATCACTTGGGAGAATGAGGCAAGAAGATCACCACAAGTTTGAGGTCAGCCTGGTCTGCTTCATGAGTTCAAGGCCAGCCTGAAACTACACAGTGAGACCCTGTGCCAAAAAACCACTGTGTTTTGATTAAACAGACATTTTGTTATTGTATGGATAAGTCACATTTGTATGACAGATAATTCTAATCATGGTTGGGAAATTTCATGGGTCAAATATATGGCTGAAACAGGTCCTAGAAGGGGGCTAAATACATAGAAAAGAAATTTTGGATGCACAAGAGAAGTTCATGGGGGGGGTGACATAAACCTCCATGGGAGGGAACTACAGAGGGAGCTGACTCTCAGGGTGCACATGAAATCTCCATTAGAGGAGGTTAAGAAAAACTCAGTCATCGGGACCAACTGACACTGGGAAGTAAAATTCTAGGCCTAGAGAAACAAAGACAGGGAGAAGAAATTCTTCTTGGACACTCCTCCAAATACTCAGATGGACATAAGAAACTAAAGATTGGACATTGATAACAAATAAGGTACATCTATGGGCAAGTACAATCTTCCTAAATGGCACCTCTGTTAAATAATATGCCATTAATATCTTAAAATTAGCTAGAGATGACTTGAGGGTTTGTTCTGCATTAAGATAAACATTTAAATGTGCTTCCGAGATAATAACAAAACAATTGTTCTAATATGATAATATCATGTTAACTGCTACGTTAAAGTAGTATGGTGTCATTGAGCTTTCTCTGTAAAGTTTTTCTGTAAAACGTTATAGTTGTCATCTGTTAACATTCTGTAGAGATTCAACTTCTTTTTTTTCAGAACCAGGGATTGAACTCAGGCCCTTGTGCTTGGCAGGGAAGCACTTATTCTACTGAGCCATCTCCCTGGCGCCCCCCCTTTTTTTTCAGAGAGATTCAACTTCTAAGATAACCATGGTTGGTAAGGAAATAATAGTTCCCTTGGTAATACTAAATATTTCTAGATAATATTATAAAATTAAGCCTGTCAATCCCACTTCAATACTGGTGTAACTAACCTTCTGGGTGTTCAACAAGAGAGGCTTGATGACCAAAGATAGGTAGATAATTGGGCAAAAAGGACAACCAATATTTTAACCTGGCTTTCCAAAGTTAGAAAGGACCCAAGACATAAAGGGACTTCTTCCAGAGCATCCTAAAACTTTGGTACATCATCCAACCTCCTGAACAGGGAGATTGTTGGACCCCAGAGGATGGAAGTCAATCAAAGTACAGTGTGCTAAAAAGGATCATCAGAGAGAGAAATGTCTCTGATTCTTCCACAGGGAGCTACATTGTCAAGCAAGGCTGTGACCTATCCTGGTGGCTGACATTGCCAGAGGAAATAAGAAGCCCTGCATATGGTTCTGAAAGTAATGTGTGGGGAGACTTAACTGAACTTGATAATTTCAAGAGGGTCTAACTTTAACTTGGTTTTAATCACCCAGTAAAAAAGAAGGTAACCAAAGACATATAAAAATAATAGTAACATAGGCTAGACATAGAAAGGGGTGCTCCAGTCACTGACCCCTGATAGCAGTTTCCAGCTACACCTGTAGGCAAGTCTAGGAGCCAGTTGATTAAACTGCTATTCCAATCTCTTAAGAACACTGACTAATGTTGCTCTTTCCACCATCTGCCTTTCCACTCTAGTGTTCATACTTTCTTCATACAGCTTCAATCTCTTGGTAAAGTATATTTACTCTTGCCTAGAAGCTGCAAAACTCCTAATTGTCATACAGATGGAACCAATGACAAAGCTCCAGCCTCTTTTTATTGAGACCCATTGGACAACCCTCCCTGCTAAAGACTTCCATCCACTGTTCCCTAACAATGGTTGCACCCAGCTCAAATTGGTCATTGCCCATTTCCCAACAGCAATTGGATGGATGTTCTTAGAGAGGGGAAGTGTAGAGGGAAATGGTCTTTAGGGTGGGGAAGAATAAAGAGACTCAGTAGGCTTTTTAGCTAATCCTGACTAAAATGAGTAAAAACATTATTGGAGGGAGCAATTAGAGAACAAGGAAAAAACAGATAAAGAAAGGTACCAAATGGCATAGGGATTTACAACACAGGATCTGAGAAAGGACTGACAAGCAGAGCATAAAGAGATCCAGGTGCTCAAAACCAAGATATCTGTTCTCCCCACTTCAAATACAGCAAAGGAGACAAAAAGGGGAGGAGCTACTAACTTAAAGTAAAACTATATAAAAATACATATGCATTCCCACTATAGGGGTGCTATGTTACTGCACAAGATACACATACATAAATTGGAACAGATATTTTTTATCAAGTATTGATATGTTGAACTTTAACTCCCTATAGAATATGATGAAAAAATATTTAAAAATTAGAATATATTTTTTAAAATAGGCATAAAGAATTATATACTTCTTATCTTTACACTTAAGTCCAAAAATCTAACCATATACAACCTTGAAGGCGGACAGTCCCACAATATTCCTTTTCTTGTCTCTTGCTTTCATTCACCACCCTTCTTTCTGAACAACCATCTACCTGAGAGACATCATAGCAGCAACTGGCATGTCATGACAAGCAGTCCGTATTCAGAAAACCAGAATGACAGGCACTCCAAGTATGAAACTACTATTACAGATTACCATCTTCAGTGCAGTATCTTAGTTCACAGGTATCAGTGTATATAGTTAGTCAGGGTGAGAATCTTTCCAATTAACTGCTAGATTCAAAAATCTTCTGGAGATTCTCAGGATCATTGCCTTGCCCATATTCTACATATAACTGTATGGCTTGACATTGTCATGTTTCCTAGATATTCAGACAGATAGTGAGACTAAGCTTAACAGCCTACGTGGTATGGTAATAACAATAAGCTTGTCTTCTGAATGGTTAACAAACTAAGTTTGCAGACCAAAATTAGAGTAAAAGGAGGGCTGCAAGGAAAGCTAACATTTTGGCCCTAGCCTTCCAAGGTCACTTAAGACTCAGGACATATGAGAACTTGTACTGTAACGTCATGTAACTCGGTAGTGTCTCAAATATTCTGATCAAGGAGATTATGGGGCCAAAGAGGAAAGTGATCAGTGATGTAGAGTGTGCCTAAGGAGAGTCACATGGAGAAAAAACATTCTCTCAGGCTTTCACAGAGAGCACATTGGCCAGGCAATGGCTGTGACTCATCCACATGGTTGATACTGACAAAGGTTCTGCAGTCTGAGGTACAGGATCTCAGGATAAATCCTGAGGGGATTTCACTGACCTTATCAGACTCAAAAGCTACAACTCTTGTTGCATAGGTCCTGCTTTACCTTGGTCTTAACCATCCAGCAGAAAAGTATAAAAATAAAGTATAAGAAGTAAAGCCATGTGATATAAATGAAGGACAATTTTATATCTATGTATCCAAAATAGTTAGGATAGATATATAGCTACTTTCTCTTAATTCAATAAGAAGAAAGATCTGTACTAATAGTGTTTGGACAGATATCATGTCTGCATCTTGTGCTATGAATGACTACTACAAAGACAACAATATGCAATGTATTAATTGTTGTAACTCTCCTACCAACCTGTTTTGGAAGCTGTCACATTGCAATTTTTCTCAATAAAATTAATAATAAAATAAAAAAAGAAGTAAAGCCATGCTGTTATGTTGAGCTATAGGGGACTCAGGTCAACAATTTCTGACATTGCCAGTGAAGTGGAAGACCCAATACTATTATGGACTACTGAACTCTTTTAGAATATTTTGCTGAGTTTACACACCTATAATATTTAAATGATGGAACTTAACAAAAGAAGGGTATACAGATGAATGTCCATTTGTATCTGTGTATTCAAAGTAGTTAGGATAGATATATAGTTACATTATCTTAATGAATAGAGGGATTTGTTCTAATGGTGTTTGTAAATAGGATATCAAGTCCGCATCTTGTACAGCAATTAACCACTAGGAAGAATGTATGACTTCCGCTCCTGAGCCGGGGAGGCTGGGCAAGGGACTCGCGTAGCTGTGGCTGCCCAGGCGCCCTTCCGGTTCTCCCTGCCGACAACATGCTCCAGTTCCTGCTTGGATTTACTTTTGGAAACGTGGTAGGAATGTACCTGGCTCAGAACTATGACATACCAAACCTGGCTAAAAAACTTGAAGAGATTAAAAAGGACCTCGAAGCCAAGAAGAAACCCCCTAGCTCCTGAGGCTGCTGCAAGCACTGCGTTCTGTACACACTGCTCTCCTGCCTGCGGTGGCCTCCCTGGACTTCTGTTCCCAAATTTTTCTGTGTGCCGTCTCCAGTGTCAGCGATTTTCCTCTTTGCTAGACTACATGGTCTCACTGTGAAAATTGGATCCCAAGTCAGGAACTATTCTTCACAATTTCAGCTCCTCATGTCTTCCCATGTCTTTTTTCCAGCTCTTCGGGAGGCTCAAAGACTGAAATTATGGTGCTAGGCTGGCAGATTCAACCTTTATTTAGTAGTTTCCTCTCATATTGGGGATTCCTATTTCTTGTCAAAAGAAAAATTGCAATGTTTGTATAGTTGATCAGATACAAATAATGCTGAATTCACAGTTTAGTGATTATAATGGGTGCTTGTTAAACATTTGTTACTTAACTTTTTGTTTTGAACTATTAAAATTAATATCTAGAATCCAGAAAAAAAAGAATGTATGCAATGTGTTAATTATTGAAACTGTCCTACCAGTTTGGTTTGAAACTGTCTCATTGCTATTTGTTTCTCAATAAAATTATGGAAAAAAAAGATACACATACATTCCCTCACTGAATCACTTACTTGACCTTATCTGTAAGGCTCCTCCTAATTAACCCACAAATCCCAGGGATACAGCCCTGACAAGAACAAGCAGGCAGAAAGAAAAAGAAGCCCATCTATGAGTATACACAAAAGTAATGGTGCCCAAGGGGCCAGGGAGATGGCTCAGTAGGATAAGCGCTTGACTGGCAAACGCAAGGATCTGAGTTCAATCCCCAGTTCCACCAAAAAAAAAGAAAGTAATGGTGCCCAGATTAGGGTCCTGTATCTGGAATCCATCTATGAAGGTCTAGGGAGCTAATCAGGTTGTGACAAGTTCCAAGTACTGATCTGGGAAGGAGGATTTTATCACCTGATAAAAGGGAGCTAGAAACAAAAGTCCGGGGAGAATCCATCAGATGCCCCTGCCCTCACCTCACATGGTGAAGCTTTCTGTCTTCTGATTTTCTCCTTTATAAATATATTATCTTCTTTAAAAAAAAAATCTATCCCTGGTGTACTGGTTGATACATTGTGTCAACTTGAGAAGTTTAGAAGTTTAAGTGACTCAGCAGAGAGCCAGGATTCTTTCTTTCTTTTCTTTTTTTTTAAACCAGGGATTGAACTCAGGCCCTTGTACTTGCCAGGGAAGTGCTTATTCTACTAAACCATCTCACTGGCCCTGACGATTCTTAATAAACAACCTCACCCTGTAGAAGAGAGGGCATGGACATTGTGTGAGTTCTTCACCTCCAGCACCAGGGTAGCTTGTTTACACATAAGGAGGGGAAGGAGGCTAGCTAGAAGGTCCAGGCTGCTGCCCTTTTCTTTATTCACTGTTTTCTGCTGCCATGAATTGCTGCTTTCTGTTATGTGCCTGGGAGCCAGCTGCATATAGACTGAAACCTCCACAAACTGAGCTAAATAGACCTTTCCTTCCTTAATTTTGGTGTGAGGTATTTCATCCCAGCAACAAATGAAAAGTAACTGAGACAGAATTTGGTATCAGAGAAATGGTGTCATTTCTGTGACTACCTGACTTTGTCATTCAAGAGTCTTTGGGAATGGCTTATGGAAAGAGATAGGAAAGGTTTAGAGAGGTCACCTGCTAGCAAAGAGCTGGAATGCTTTTGGCTCTTCTTTATGGGAGATTCTTGTCAGAGCTCAGAAGACCAGAATACTGATAGACACCCTGCCTGTAAAGACCAGGCTGGGGAGGTTTCTGCTGGAAAGATGGACTGTATTGGTTTTTGAACTCCGGGTGATTTGTACTATGGCTTGGCAGAAAGTTTGTCTGCCTTTTCTCATGTCCAAAGACTTTGCCTGAGACTGAGATTAAGCACAGTGGACTAGTTAATCTGACAAAGGAAATTTCAAAGCAGTCAAATGTTGAAGCAGTGGCATGGCTATCGTTGGGGGCTTTTAGTCAGATTTATGTTGAGAATCAAAAGGAAAGAGCCCAGCAGGATGATTTAAATGTTGTGAGTTTGGCCAGAAAGGAAGTGCCAGGAAAGCTGTGGACTACGAAGGTAAGAGTTTAGAATTCCAAGGGCCCGGGGAGATGGCTCAGTGGAATAAGCGCTTCCCTGGCAAGCACAAGGCCCTGAGTTCAATCCCCAGTTCCACCAAAAAAAAGAAAAAGAGTTTAGATTTCCATTGTTCATGAGGAACAAGAGTGTAGAAAAGATGTCCTGAGGGCATCATAGGAGGCATCAAGTTCTGGCTCTTTGCAGCCTCAGAATTGCAAGTGAGAGGGTTTGGCTTTGAGGAGAAAGCCGCAGAGCCCCATTTTCCAAAATGGAGACAGAGGCCAGACAAGGTTCCAGGGTGAGAATAGTGTAGATAATTTATTCCTGGGGATCATGGTCAGAGTGCTCACCAATCCAGGCACTTGAACAGCCAAGAGAGAAGAAAGCCTGGTTACTACTTCAGTTGATAGCAGACCTTGGCATCATCCATGTGACAATGGTTTTAGGCACATTCAGGAGTTCTGGGGTGAAAAAGGATTTCTCCTACATTTCAGAAGTCCTGGGAGGCCAGGCAATGTGCCTCTGAGAGGGCAGTGTATAAAGCTGTGAGTGAGAAGCCTATTCCATAGAAACCCCAGAAGTTTGGAAAAGCCAAGAACATGGATTATGAGAAAAGCTGCAAGGAGTAGCAAAGCCAGCCACAGACTAAAGCATGGGAGATACAAGCAGAAGGGTTGCCGGGGTGGAGCCATGTAAGTCTTTTGGCGCTCATAACTCATTAAAGATTGCTTTGGATATTCTACATGGAACTACAGGACTGCCCTTCCGGACTTTGGACTTGCTTTGGTCCCAGTGCTTTGCATACTGCTGCTTGTGCCTTTTGGAATGGTAATTTTTTTGTGTCTTATTGAATACTGGAAGTGTTTAACTTTTCATTTGTACAGGGGCTCACAGATAAGAGTTCGCCTTAGATCTTGGACTTTTCAGCAATGTAGGAACTGTTAGAATTTTGGCAACTCTTAGGAAATAGACTAAAATGCCATTTGCATTAAGGGATGTACATGAGTTTTTGTGCAGGGTGGGGGGTGCCCAGGGGCAAAATGTCATGGTTCTAATGTTATACAATGTTCAAGTTGTAAAATGTTAATAGCATGTCTATGTACCTAGAAACTGGTTTAAGGAACTGTCTGGTTGCCAACTTGACAAGGGGTGGATTGTACTTCTTGATACATTGTGTCAACTTGAGTTTAAAAGTTTAATTAAGTGACTCAGCAGAGAGCCAGAACTCTTAGTTTGCAAATATCCTCATCCTGTGCAAGAAGAGGGCATGGACATTGTATGAGTTCTACACCTCCATCCCCAGAGTAGCCTGCTTATAATATAAGGAGGTGAGAGAGGCTGGCTAGAAGCCATAGCTGCTGCCCTTCCCCTTACTCTTCACTGTTTTCTGCACCATGAACTGCTGCTTTCTGTCATGTGCCACTCTGTTTGCAAGCCAGTTGACTACAGACTGAAACATCCGTAAACCTTTCTTTCCTTAATTTTGGATGTCTTGTACTTTGTCCCAGCAACAAGTGAAAAGTAACCAAGACACCTGGCCAGGTGTGGTGGCACATGCCTCTGATCCCAGCATTTGGGAAGCTGAGGTAGGAGGATTACCATGAGTTCAAGGCCAGTATGAACTAGTGAGACCCTGTTTCAAAAAAATTATCCCTTTAATTTATTACTGGTTCTGAGTTTACAATGCAGTTTAGCTGCCCATGCCAGCAAAGCATTGGTGCATTCCCAGTGCAATAATTAAAACTATATCAAGCCCTGTTCTGAGAGGCAGAGACCATCTGGATTTCCCAACAGCCAGGGAATGGACCTAGGGGCTAGCACTTAAAAGCACAAAGGGTCTTAAGAGGCTGCACAGCTGGGCAGAGACTCAAGTTCTGAAAATACGAGGTGTTTCTGGGATAGTCGTCGTGGGGGCTGCAGAGCAGGAGAGGTGAGATTCCCTACTTGGGACACTGTCACGCAGACTGAAACATATTCACCCACCAGAGAAAGAGGGTGTGGCTGGAAGTGTGAGTGCAGAGGCTGGGCAGCCCTCTGTCCAGGACACACTCCCTCACCACTTCTGGGTGGCAAAGGGCAACATTTTGCCTACTCTAGCAGGGCCTGCCCTGCTGGAGACAGAGGAATAATAGTCAGAAGGAAAAGAGAAGCCAGGCGTGGCAGATGTCATGGAAGAGAGGAGAGAATTTCAAGCCAAAGAGCTGGCCCATCACAGTGCATCAGGGCTGGGAGTGTGGTCACGCTGCCCTGTGTGATCAATGATTTACTTGATGAGATCAAAGGAGGAGGAGAACATGGAGAAAAAGAAGAAGAAGAGGAAGGAGGAGGAAGCAGCAAAAGTGATACTTTAATCATTCCTGTACACACAGACATGCACACCTCATTGAGAAGTTTTGTGCTTTTATTCCTAACTCATAGGAGTCCCTTCCCCATTTCCCATGGCCTGGGATTCAGGGCTTAGTCTATCCCAAGCAATCTATCTTGCCTCATATCTGTTATTTCTCTCCCCACCTTTCCCTTTTTGTAGTTATGTATGTCCTTTTGGCTTTCCAGAACCATAATTCAGGAAAACTTGCCTAGCACTTATTCCTTACCCCAGAACCTTCGCTGGTGTGATTCTTTACAGCTCTGTGTCTTTTTCTGCTAGTTGATGGAGCTAATTCTATGAATAAGTGCTAATTATAGACGTTAATGAAATTTGGGCCAATCAACACTATTTTTACCTCTTATGCCTGTGACCCCACCTGGACTCTGTTTCACCCAAAGATTTACACAGTCTATGCATTCCAAGAGGGAAAACCAGCTGTCCTGTTAGCAGAAAAATGTCCTGAGAAAGCTGCAGGCAGCTGTCTCCTATTGGTACCCCTACCCCAAGGTAGGGATTTTTAAAAATAAAATTTATAAGGTATAATTTTCAGAAATAAATATAATTTTCACAAAATAATTATACAATTTCCCTTGTGTAGCTTTTCCTAGTTGCATAGACTTACTATAACATTGGAGTTCTGTGCATGTATATCATTACTGACAAAATAAAAAGAC